GAGGAGTCGTAAGCCGCAACCTTGTTTGTACGTTTCCTCTTCCGGATCGACCTCTCCCGCGCTGCACTCGATTCGGATCGGCCGCTTTCCGTATGATGCACAGGTTGCGAGGAAGCACCTCCCAAAGTCGTTGAGTCTCTGAAATTCAAAAATCTTTGCAAGCACCCAATCTCTCCATTTACGTCATCATCCACGTCAGGCAAGGCTTCAGCATCATCGAACTGGTCAGCGACTGCAGGTGTAGCGCCCAATATACTCCCATTAAAACCTGAATCGCGGGCATGTTGCTGCTGGAACGCGTCGATACGCCCACCAACTTGTCTGGCAGACACGGGATCAGATGACAGCCTTGACGCAGCCCGCGATGTGTGACATTGACGCAGTGGCGTGGCCTCCGCTTCCCCGTGCCATTAATACTGGTGGATGGGGCGTCCACTTCAATTTGCCCTTCCGTGTCATGCGCCTGCGTTCCACCGCAGACCCCGCTGACAGGAGTGGTCTGGGATGCTGTTGCACGACAACGGCCACGCCCTGCAACCACATTAGTGCACGGTCTGTTATGTGCCGCAGTGAGTGGCGGACCACATGAAGGCACGATTGTGGTAGGTGGAGTGGCATTACACTCAAGAAGACTGTGGTGAATTGACGTGGCAGGAAATGGGGGACATGGACGCATTGGATCAGTTTGGTGCATGACATTGTTTGACGGTTGAACATCATGTCACATTGTGAAAGGCGTTGGTGGTGTGGTGTACCCAGAGGGTGCAAAGGACGGGTCATGGCCATGGACAAAATGGTGCATGGAATGTGGACTCCCATACGAATGCGATGAGACAGGGTACATGAACGTAGGGAAGTGCAACGGGACGGTGTGGCCTGGACTATAGGGAGCGGTGGGCGGGTGAGTAGTAGTCATATGGAATGGAGTGCCATAGTGGGGATAAGTATGTACCCACGGATTGTGGGCATCTGGTGGTCGTGGCGGAGGCAAAGGAGTGTGAATCGCAGAAACAGAGGATGGCGCAGCGGGAACATGTTGTGTGTGAAGCATATGGTTTGTTGTGGTCAAACCGGGATGAGGTATGAACCCTGAGAAATCATCACCRTGCGCGGACGTTGCCGTGGTGTCCTCCATAAAYGTACGCCGATTTTCACGGCCCTGCTCATCTGCAGCAACCATTTCACAAGCTGCGCAAGACACAGCGTGAACACCGCCTTTGACAACAAAGTACGACACACGAACAAACATCAGGAAATGCAAGTGCATTGAAAGCGGAGGAAATAAGGACACGACATTCGTATTTGAACAGGCTTTTTGACAACAACGCGTTGGGGAGGTTATCAATTCAATTTCAACCCTATGTGGTTGCATAGGTCCCTGAACTGCAAACGTTTAAACCACAAGCACACCACCCAGGCAAACAAAAACATCGATAATGGCTCTTTCCGAAAACTGCGGAGGCTGGGGGCTGCGATGGACGCCACAAAAAAAAAAAAAAAGGAATGGAAAGAAAAATAAAAATAAAAAAATTCCGAAGAACTATGAATCCACCGACGTGGGGAAGACCCTGGAACGGATTCCACCTTTGCAGTAGTTGATGCAGATCCCAATGCTGGTGTATTTGTTCTTCTTCTTCTTCTTCTTCTTCTTCTTCTTCTTCTTCTTCTTCTTCACCTTCTTCTTCGCCTTCTTCTTCTTCTTCTTCTTCTTCTTCTTCTTCTTCTTCTTCTTCTTGGCTCAGTTATCTTCGCAAGTTCAGTCTTTTTATTTCGCAATTGGTGGCCATTGTACGTCATTGTTGATTTGCAATCGAAAGCTAGCCAGGGACGTAACATGTGTCTTAACGACAGTCTGGCACGGCAATGAACTTGACCAGAGTGACACACACTGCACGAACGCTGACAAAATTTGAAAAAATCCTTGATAAAGTGAAATTGACTTTGAGATCCCACTGAGCAGATGTACGCAGTGAGAACCACATCCTGCAGAATCAAACGACAGTACGGCAATTCGCAACTGTTACACAGTACAACAAATAAAAAATAGACTGACGACGAACTAGGCCGGACGTATTGATGCAAGCACACTGGAAAGTGACTTGAACAGAATGGAAACAGACTGTAGGCTGAGTGGAGGAATCCGAGAAGAGGTCAACAGTGGAAGCGGTGGGACCGCAGATCCGACACCACAAAACAACCGCACACAGTCAAACAGACGAGCGGACTACGAACTGACAATGAACAGATTTAAACACCGAACACAGCAGAAGACAGACCAAAACAAATGGACGCAGTCGAGCATACGGAGTAAAGACTCCAGCACACTCGCACCTCACGGAAAACTGAATAAAACACAATCGGAACAGGTTCAACTTCATGGCAATATACACGAAAGGCAAGGACAGCGGAAGTAGACAGGACACCTCAACATGTACCAAAACAGAGTCTCACATACTCCATACACACGCACGCTGATCCAAACAYTAGCGTGGCTAACTGAAGCTGGCTCCAAAACCACTGACAACAGAATGACACAGGCTCAAACAAACCTACAGACTGGAAACAGACTATGCACGGTCTCAGAGATTAGTACAACAAACTAAAAGCAGTCGAAGGCAAACTGAAAGTGACGCACGAAGCGGACGTCACTGGACACAGGGTCAACAGGACTGGAAACAGACCGTCAACTCACCTGCACGCACTCAGAGCAGGGTGGGAAAAGGAAACTTCACAGCCGCACTTACTTCAACGGTGCCCGTAGTGAAAGGAAGCGAACATATACTGAATCGTACTGACAGACACACACATGAGGCCCGCCCAGACTACAACTGTTACAGTACTGCAACAGACACCGACTGCGGGCACTGCCACAGTGGAAACCGGAAGCCGCGAACAGACAGGCGAACTGAAAATGGGCAGAGAATACTGGAAAATTAAAAAGAAGGATAACAAAATGAAATGGAATTAAGAGTAAGGAAAGTAAAGGCAGACACGAAACGACCACGAACAAACCTAAAACAGAGTCGAACGCGGATGGACGGGGTTGTAACAATCATGACAGCGCTTAATAGACAGACTGGATTGGCTTAATGCGGTAAATCACCAACCCTTCGCCGGACCCTGCGTCAGTATTATGTCTGAACGTTCGGCCGGACCTGTGTATGCAATGTCCGAAACTGTCCAGAAAAAAATAAAACATAAAAACGGATAGGGAAAAAAAAAAAAAACACACGTTTTTGTATTTCTCGTACGATGCAGCTATGAATCTTGAGGTGGACAGTTAGCCGAAATATCTGTTTTACAGTTTCATGGATTTTGTTTGCCGGTCGGATTTTTTCGTGCTGTGGAGGGGCGATGGATCCAGACACCATGGACTGGAGAAAGAGTTCAATTGGAAGAGTGGACGACGACATGGCAGCTCCTCCATCTCCCTATTCGTCATCCTTTTTCCTTCTTCCACCCCAGTCGTCGTCTTCCCCCTCCCCTTTTCCTTCTCGTCCCATCTTCTCCTCCCCCTCACTCGTCCTCCTCAAGGTGACCTCTTCCTCCCCCGACTCTTCGTGTTCGTGTCCGCTTGTCACCTTCGCKTCCTCCTCCTCGTCCGCCTTCTCCTACTCGTCATGTTGTGCCACCTGTCCTGTCGTCATGTGCATTTCCGAATACGATTCCACAAGCCCAGGAAATTCCGCAAGCCCAAGAATTTGTGAAGCCCGAAAATAAAAACGAGCGTCAGAAAAAAAATTCGAAATTTTTCGAAATTGAAAAACGAATTTTCAGAAAAATTTCGAAATTGAAAAACGAATTTCAGAAAAAAAATCGGAAATGAAAAAACGAATTTCCAGATATAATTTCGAATTTC